GAGAGAAAGAAAGAAAGAAAGAAAGAGAGAGAGAGAGAGAGAGAGAGAGAGAGAGAGAGAAAGAGAGAGAGGGAGATATTATAATACATCTTTACAAACGGGTCGTCTGTTGAGTTTAATCCGACAGTTGGTGTCTGCAGTACCTCGTGTTATTATCCTTTCTAATGGGGACACAAAACAACAGCAATACTGGATGCGTTGTCTTCTGCACTAGTTCTTCCAATTACTACTAAAAGGTTAGGATAAAAATAAGTTACGTGCTTCTATCCGGTTGTTAATTTGGTTTTTTCCCCACTTTCTTTGCTCGTCGGAAAACGTTTGTAGGAGCATGAATTTTTTACAATGACAAGACGTCACACTCATAAACACACACACACACACACACACACACACACACACACTCACACACACACACACACACGCACACACACATACACACATATACACACTCAGTCTCCACTTTACTGTCACTCCGTATGTCCCCCTCTCCTCGTCTCTTCCTTACTCTCTTTCTAACTTAATGTCAGATTCACAGATTCACACAAAGGAAGACGTCATTACAGGCACTGGCAGCATTATTGTCAAGACATATCAGGTTAACTGCGTGTTCATAGTTAAGTTGAAACTATGTATACAGGGTGTAAACCCCTTATTCAGAGGAAAGAGTGCTAGTGACGACGTGTTTACAGCTGAGCGTCATGAACTTCGGACATGTTTTCTGGAATCTAGTTTTGTTATGTGATGTGACATCTTCCGATATCTCCTGTTTACCTATCCTCTTCTGGTGATGGCAATGACATTAGAATTCTTTTTCATTAAGTCGTAGTTCTGCTGCAGACCCGTAACCATAGTTCAATAATCCTTTCTGCGTCCTCGCAAAACAAACCTATTATTCTACTAGTCTTTTCCCATATTACACATTCGTTCAAGTTCACCCAGTTATTATTTTTCTACTGTTGCCTCTTTCGCCATCTATTCTGTCCTGTGAGAGCAATATTATGTTTAAAAGCGTTATAGAAACTGTATTTGTCTTCTCCAGATTATTTTCCTTATGACCGTCTTTGCTGGGTTCGTTCAGTATAGCCTTTTCATTTAAAAGGCGTAATATACGTCTAGACTGTTGACTGATCATTCCCGTTGATATCTTATATCTGTGGAAAATTTGTCACACAAAGAACGCACAAACACGAAAACAAACAAACAATTAAAGAAACAAACAAACAACAGACAAAGCAACGTATTAAGTGGGTGGTTGGATGATGCTACCTTTAACCCCTAACTCTAAATCATATCTCAGCTCTCTTTGTGTTCTCTCTCTTTCTCTCTTTCTCTCTTTCTCTTTCTCTCTCTCTCTCTCTCTCTCTCTCTCTCTCTC